GCATCCACACACAGAGAGAAAGAAACAAAACACCCCACTCGTCCATGAGGCAGAGTTAACCGCCAACAGCGTGTGTGGGCGTGGAGGGGGAAAGGGGGGAAGACGCCACGAGGTGGTCACGCGTGGTCGGCGCCTTCCGCCCGGTCGGCGCACGGGGGACCGTGCGCTTTTGAGGTGGCGCTCGTCACCGGCTTCGGCCTCCCTGCAGAGGGGCTCGCCAAGAGCTCGTCAAAGAACTTTGCGCAGCGCTCCTTGGGCGCCGCCGGTACCGTTCGACCACCCCCATGCTGCCGCCCAGAGTGGACCTCGACGCTGCCGCGCCGCAACGCTGTCATCGACAGACAGCGACGACAGCTGTTGTGGCCGCTGCGAACGGCGCCACTCCCACGCGTCCTTGGGCTAAAGAGGAACTCTCTACAGCCCTCAACGCGCGCCTCGGCGTTCACCGAAGCAACAACCGCCTCTACACGCGTGAGTCTTGCGGATGATCGGTGGCCAGGCGGGCAGGACATGTGGCGCTTCAGTGGTTTACCCGCGGGCGTCCCTGCAGTGCCGCCCACTTTTTCGAGGCGCAGGGCCGCATCGCCCTTTCTGGGAGGTCTTATCTCATGCAATGCAAGTTTTGGCACCACACCCTCCTGACGCTCCCTTTCCATGCGTCTTGTGTGTAACTCAGCCGTGGCCAGTCGCGGGGCAGAGGCAAGGACAGTGTGTGGGTACCGCTGCCTCGCCCCATTGGCCATCTCACGTCGACCCTGTAGCTCCTTCAAAAAGCTACGTGATCGTGTATGAAAAGTGCCGCTTCGCACAGGCGTGGGGGTCACTTTCAGGCCCAACGGACCGGCATCCCGGGAAGGGCTGTGACGCTTCTTGCCAGGCGTCGCCGTGTGGTGCACATTCGGCACACTTCCATTGCCATCCAGCAACGTTCTAGTTGGCGGCGGTGAGGCATCTCGTTGCGGCACAAACTTTGAGCGGTGCTGACGTGGCGACCTTGTCAGTGTCTCGGACGTTCGCCTCACCGACTTCGACTGGAACTCCTGCTCCGCCGCATTCGCAGGGGGAGCCGCGGTGTCTACCGCGGCTGGGCGGCGAAAGTGCACGGGGGGATGGACAAGTAGCGGAGCCTTGCCTTCCCCGACCGGCATCAGTATGGCACCCGCCGCAGCCCCACGATCCTCAGGCGCCTTGTCCTCCGCGCCCTCCGTCGCTGTGGGTGGAAGCGGCTTCTCCCTCTCCGCGTCTTCCGGCGTGCGTACGTGGCAGCTGCTCTCTTGACCGTACACGTGCATCGCGTACTCCGCCGCTGTGAGGAAGGTCTGATTGCAGCCGGCACAGGGGAATCGGCTGCCTTGGCACGCCCCCATCAGATGTTCTCGCATGTCAAGCACGGAGAAGGCGGCCCCGCAGCCGACGCAGGGCCTCCGTGTGTCTCGCATGTTGCAAGCGTAGGCGAGGTGCGCGTTCAGCTTCGCCGCCTCCACCCCTGTGCCGCATTCCGGGCAGCTCACCACCTCCTGACCGCAGCGCATGATGTGCGCCGCGGTGCCCAGGCGGCGGCAGTAGGGGCAGAGTCTAACGGACGCAGGCAGCTGCAGCCGCTTGGACAGCGGCGTCTCCTTCGAGGGGGCGGAGGACTCCCCGCCGGTGGTTCCGCTGACTGCGGTGTCCGAGTGAAACTTCTGCATTGCCGCCAACGACTCCCCGCCCCTCACGCACGCACGCGCGCGCAGGTGGACAGTAACGAACTGGCGCGCGAGTGCAGGCGGCGTCCAAGAAGTCATTGCAAAGTGAGACACCAACAGAGAGGGAGAGAGAGGGAGGGAGAAACAAAAACAAAAAGAGGCGAAAATAAAAATAATAAGCCGCGCCTCCGCAACCACGCCTCGGGCCGCAGGTGGAGCGGCTGCAGTGGGGTTCCGCAAGAAGGAGGCGCAGCGAGGCAGGAGAGTTCAAGGGAACGGAGGGGAGGCAAAGCAAGATAATAATAGCAGCAACAATAACAAACCAATAAATTGCATGTACACGAAAACAACACGCGGACCCTTCCACACCGTAGTTGAAGTGTCAAACCTGAAAAATGAGACGCGTCCTCTCTCACACACACATACAGACACACAAACAAACAAACAAAAGAAATCAACAAGTCGTGGTTTAGTTGCGTTTCCTGCAGTTTTTTTTTCTTCGCTTTGCCCTCCCCCTGCCGTTGCAGCACACAACCCGCAAATGGTGCGGTCATAAGCTGCAAGCACACGGCCCGCCCGCCCGCTGCCGCTGTCGCTGCTGCCGAGTGGCGGGGGCAAAGGCGTCGCCAAGAAACAGTCACACAACATATCTTCTCGCTCTGACTATGCACCTCGCTGAGCTTAGCTACAGCGAATGGTACAAGGGAAAACGCACAGATACGTAAGCGGGGGAGCAGGCAAAGAGGGTTGTGGGCCGACAGGGACGAAAGCGAAGCAGGACTTTTTCGTCAACTGAGAAAGATGAAACCAAAAAACGTGTGATTAAAGGTGATAGACGCCCCAGCAGCAAATTGCGTGTACTGGAGCGAAAGGGAAAACAAGGCAGTGAGAAGCAACGAACATGCTATTCAACCAGCCCCTTTTCCTCCTTGTTTTTTTTTTGCCCTGGTTTGCTTCGCTTCCCTGTTGTCGTTGTTCTTGTTCTGTTCGCCGCTCACTCCCTCACTGCTTGGGGGTGAGCAGCTGCGCACCCAACACGCTTGCCGGCGGCGCACTGCGCCAGTGATGTGGGGGTTTGCCTCAGTGTTCGATGCGTGGCGGTGCGCCAGCCGTTGGGCGGAGCAACTCGTGCGGGGCCGGCGGGGGGCTGACGTCGGCTCCGAGAGATTCCTCCGCCAGCGCGGCAGCGTCGTCCGCGCGACGCCGCAGCGGGAGAAAGCCAAAGCGGTAGAGCGTGTACGAGAGGGAGTAGCACCTGGAGAAGAGAGAGGTGAGCTCGTCGCCCTCCTCAATGTCTTCCACGGCACGAACGACCGCGCATCGGGCGCCGCCCTCCGCCCCCTCGCCGGCCGCGGCGGGGATAAACTCCACCGCCACCGCGGTGTTGGCCACCCCGCCCGGGGGGTGCTGCAGCATGTCCAGCACCGGCACCACCGACGCGATGGAGTGCGGGTCAAAGTCGTTCGCCGCGGCGCGCCTATGATCCACCACGCCAAAGACGCGGTCAAAGAGGGTCCACCGCACTCTGCTGACAAGGCGCGTCCACGCATCCTCCTCTACGCGCATCCGTCTGCGCTCCGTGCACACGCGCTCAAACGGCTCCACGTTGTGCCGCAAGGGGAGAAGGCGCTGGCGTGACAAGACGAGACGGAAGGCCCACGTCAGCTCCTCCATGGAAGGCGGCGGCTGCCGATGCGTGGCCTCGTCGTCGTCGTCGTCGGCGCGTGAGAGCGTTGCTGGGGCCTCGCGGCGTTTGTCGTTGTCGGGGGCCGCGCCTGCAGGGGACGAGCGGCACGACGCCTCAATCATTCGCGCCACCTCGTGTTCCTCCAGCCACGTCTGATGAATCTGCCGCAGCCAGTGCGAGAAACGTCCGCAGTGGTCGCTGTACTCGAGGTGCGTCTGCGGGTCCAAGACGCCGCGGTGAAGCTCGCGAATAAAGTCATCATCAAATGGGGCAAGAAGTCGCAGGTAGGGGTAGAGCGGGCTGCGCTCCCCCTCAGCCCTCTCGCAGGCCAGATGCAGCGCGCAGTACACCTGGTCCACAAACAACGGGTGCACTGCAGGATCAAACGAGGTCTTTCTCACGCCCAGAATGGATTCTACTGTGGCATAGGAAGGAACCCCGCGGCGTTGCGCCGCCAACGAGTGACGTTGCAGGGACTCCGAGTTGAGGACAAGTCCCCAGGCGCTTGCAGCCTTCATTGCGGGGTGAGCCGGGGTCGCACCGTTTTCGGTGGATGCCTCTGTAAGAGGAATCGCCAAGATCATCTCACCTGCCTTAAATTGTTTGCGGGCAATCAGGCCACGTGTGTGGTACGCTCGCAAGTAAAACTCAACGTTATCCTCAAGCTGTTGCAGAAACAGGGTATGACCACGGGCTGTGCACAGCCGCCGCAACCAAGCAAGGAATTCCGCGACCTGTTCCTCCGGCACTGTCCCCATACTGTCCGTGGAGATCCAGTTCTCGACAAGCAGACGCTGCTTTCCCAACAGCGGTGAGGTGAGGCTGGACGCCCACATGGGAAGCAGCGGCTTCGGTGTGTTGTTTGGCACCACATGGACAGACAAGGCAGTGCGTGCGGGGCGATCGTCTGGATGGCTAAGAAACGAAAACTGTGGTCGGCGGCGCTGTTGTGGCGGTGTTGGTGCCGCGGCAGCTAACGAGGGCGGCGGTGCCATCGCAGCCGCGGC